AATTTGTTTTTGAGGACGGGGATATGCAATATGTCACGTAAGCAACTACATGCAGACACGTAGGAAGGAAAACATATGGTGAATGCTGCAAATGAAGAATAATTGATAGACGAGGAGCAGGAAAAGGAGGTTCATCATGTGGACTTGTAAGAGGAGGAGAAGAAAATCCGACATGGATGTGAAGGAAGACACAAAAATTAATCAATCAATCAATGTTATTTTTTTTTATAATGAAATTCACTAGACAAATCATTCCACAAACTTAGAATAACATTGCACCATGACCCGTAGAATCAATACAGAGCTTTCAATCTATCAATCATGATTTGTGTGTGTATGCGTGTTTGTATGTGTGTATGTGTGTGTGTGTGTATGTGTGTGTGTGTGTGTATATGTGTGTGTATGTGTGTGTATGTGTGTATGTGTGTGTGTGTGTGTGTGTGTGTGTGTGTGTGTGTGTGTGTGTGTGTGTGTGTATGTGTTTTATCATGCCCGATATACACCTGAATGATCGGTTTATTTCCGTCAATTGATCAATCAATTAATCAACAGAAAAATTCCTACAAAAAACGAAAGTTGAAAAAACATTCTATTAAAAAAAAGTCCTTCATATTTAAAAATTATCATTTCAATGTTCGTCTCATTTTAAAATTTCGAGTTTTATTTGATAAGTTCCCATCGAAAAATGAGTTTTCCCTTCGAACTACATCTATTTGTTGAAGATGGAATACAAATCTGGACGAGTTCACGAGATTTCTATAACAAATATCTTATAATTTAGATTGGATTAACTTATTTATGACTGTAAATTCTTATGTAGAATGACAGTCTAATGAAAATATTTCATGAACTCATCAAAACGTTCATTCCATCTCTAGCACACAGTTCAAATAAGAAGGGATATCTTATTCTTGGAATAAAAGTTTTGATGCGTGTGTGTCCGCTAGTATACAGAGGATTGATCGATCATTTTTTATCGCTTAATCAATCAATCAATCAATCAATCAATCAATTAAATTCATCAATCGATTGATTGATTGATTGATTGATTGATTGATTGATTGATTGATTGATTGATCAAAATTAAACAATAAACGTTGTATACCATGAACATTTCATAACACACAAACACACATACATAGACATTGTTAATAGACTGTATTGATCAATCAATACAAACGCACACGCTTATACACAATTGCACCCGTACATACACATTTTGTTATGAGATGCTCACACACACAAACACACAAACACACAAACACATAGACAATCATGCGTTTATTTTGCAGTCGAGTATAACAAACATGACAACACACACACACACGCATACACACAGTGAGGGTTGATGGGGGTGATGAGGCGGGGAGGAAAGGCCGAAGTTCGGCGTTCGAACAGATGGGGGAAACGAGAACAGGAAGTTGGGAGCAGGAAATAGAGTGAGAAGGGAGCAATGGAAGGCGGAGATTAAGGCCCACACATGCACGTGGGACTGAAAAATATTGACGGGTCTGTCATTCCCCCACCTCACACCCACGTGCGGGCCTTGATCCTGAACTCGCCCTGCCCACTTCTTACTCCTTTTCCCCTCAATCCCACCTACCCCTACTTGTCTTCCCACTTGCTCCATCTCGCTTCAACCCCCGATCCTTATAGTTTTTTGACCCTCAACTCATATTGCAATCTTCTTCCCCTCATCTCATCCAAATCTTCAACCTCTGACCCTTGTCCTGACATTTACCCTTGGTCTCTCATACTCTCATATTGATCACGGTTTTATTGTCTGTGTGCACTCTACCCAATGCGTAACTCTTATTTGTTTTCTCTTGTCATCATAATCACGAAATGCTTGTGAATACGCGAGCATTAATGTATGAAACTCCAATAAGGTTCTTATGTTTTTTCTCCACATGGACCTATGGGCCATGGCATAATAGATGTCCTTGTAGCTCTGTCACTAACTAAACATTAAGCATGCCGCCACATGAGGGTAAATGGATCAAATTATACTTGTGGAAAATCTGAAACTAGTATAGATGATGTGTTGAACTTATCTTGGTTGTAGTATATGGTTGATGATAATGGATTCTTGTGGCTCAAATTACTGGTCCATATTTATATTGATGCGCGAAAAAAGATAGAAGAAAATATCGATAATTGACCACAAAAGATTAGTACGAGAAGAGGGGAGGATGGACATACAAAGTGGAACTAAGAGATAGCTCAAATAGTTAAAGCAAATGTGTTATACCAGTTGTCGAGTCTGCATGCTGTGGCGTGGTATTAATTTCAATTTTTAGCATTCTTATGTACCAACTTTTATAATATTATAATGCTCGTGACTCCTAGTATAATATTATAGTGTTTGTGTCTCCTTCTATAATATTATAATGCTTGTGACTCCGAATTCGTTTTCGTGGAAGGCTTGGTCATATTATTCTCATGCTTTTGGTTTTCCTCCTATCGGGAATTTGCACGAGGAATCTCATTTTTCATGATTCCTCTTCCCCTTCTTACCCTCCTCTCCCCCTCGTGAGGTTCTGACCCTATAGGTAGGAGGCATGAGAGGGATAGGTGTATGCTAGTCAGTGATTGGGTGTTTGTAGGATGACAAGGTAGGTAAGGTCGTTCGGGGGCTTTGTACTAATTGTTGGTGACATCATGATGGTAGTTTGTCCTCCTTTGCTGATACTATAACCTATTCCGACACTGGTGTCAGAAGCACGATGCTGACAACAGAGCCCATAGAAGAATGCCGCCTGAAGGGAACAAAAAACGAACGACCCTCCAAACCCAAACCCAGACAGGGCTGAAGTGCCACCAACAATGAAAACCTAACGATTTTATAGCACAAATACACGATTTCCCGGAAGCCGCCCAACGGGTCTTAGCGCACACCAGTGATAACCCAACAAGTCTAGGTCCTGCCTCCTAACGGTGAATGTGTCCAAATTCTGCCGCTTTCTCGCAAAGGCAAGCAAGCGCCGCCTTCCCTGCACAGACCGCTGCCCATCCGCTCTCTTAAACCACCGGTACCTTTCCGCGCATGAAATCTAGGATGTGCCAGGTAACACGGTAGCCAAGCCGGGGAGGCCCGCCATTGATAAATCGGATTGGTGGCCTGCTTTTCGTTTCGGGCCTCCGACACCGCCGCTTGAAATCTAAGACGTGCCGGATAACGCGGTAGCCAAGCGGGGGAGGCCCACCGTTTATAAATCGAATCGGCCACCTGCTTTTCATTTTGGGCCAACATATGGGAGAGGTGTGGGTGGTTTAACACCGGACCCACCTACCGGTCTTAGACGTGCACCTTTATTTCCTTCAAGCCCCACCCCCAGTTTGACTTCCCAGACCCCGCTTAGACACCAAATTGATGTCCACCAGGCGACAAAAAGCAACGGGGTAAAGGCGCAGCGTCCTGTCTGGCCAAGTTCTCCAGTGATGGGCATCTGATTTTGTCTCCTTGGCTGCTTGGGTAGTGATGTGGAGTTGTCGAGGTTCGGGCCTCCCGGACCGAAAGGGCTGGCGCCGCCAGTCGAAAACTGAAAAAAATTGGGCGCGCCGACTCTTTCTTTTTTTTCCCTTTTTTCTTTTGCGAGCGCTTCGGGTCGGGCAAAACAGCCTCGGATAACGAACCAGTGGCAACTACAAAGAAACAAAATCTGACCCTCCACAAGCCGCCCACCGAACCACCGGCCCTACGGGTCGGTCCCCACCTTCATACCCCAAAAGAAAGACCCTTATTTTGCCCACCCGACCGCCTCCTCACCCCCTCTGAATCCTCTTCCGAATTTGCCTCTCCTGCCGACTACCACTCGCCGCTACCCACTACCGGTAACCCAAAGAACAACTCGTCGCGCCAACGGCGCAAACAGGTGGGTCGGCCCAGCCTACGTACTGCGAAGAGCGGCGGTGGCAGAGTGGACTCTGGCGAGCCATTCCACCGTCATTTGGTGGATTTTCTAGCTGGTCTGCCATATCCTCCGGGGAAAAAACAAAGGGAATTGCGGGCTAATGTTGGCGGGCCAAGCCGTTGCAAGAAATGGCGGGCGACGGTAGAAAGTAAGTTGCAAAAAAGGGCAGGTGAAGGTAGATACTAAGAATGGATCTCAAGTAGGAGATAGAACGGGCTGTGGAAGGGAGGAGAGGAAAAGGAGGAGAAGGACAAGTGGGGTGCATCTCCACGTACACACGCATCCGCACATCCCCACGTGCATGATCTGGACAAGCGACAGCAACCTCAACAACGTGGCATGAAGGTGAGTCGCCCTGCATTCTCCCTAATCGTCCTCTTTGGCCTTTTCTCTTCATTCTCTTCTCCTTGTCGTCTTCCCGCCCACGTCCCCTCTTCTTCTTTTTCTTTCTCTCTTTCAGCCTTCTTCTACTTCTCGCATTCCCTTTGGCTATTCTTCTGCCCCTCCCTTGCTTCCTCTTGCTTCTTGTTTCCCACAGTGGGCGCCGTCTTCCCTGCCTGCTCCTCGCCTTTTGCTGCTATGTTGTCAGATGAGCGCACCGATCTATGCGCGTGCGTGCGCGGGCTCACACACTCACGCGGAGAGCGAGCGAGAGAGAGAGAGAGAGAGAGAGAGAGAGAGAGAGAGAGAGAGAGAGAGAGAGAGA